TGGTGGTGAACCACGTTCTTGACAAAAATGAGTGCCTTGCTAGGCCAACTATGTTGCTGTGGCTTTGAAGTCACGTATAGGCCAAACTGGGTAAGGATGGCAAATTTCCTTCTTTAAAAGGACATTAGTCAGTCAGACACGGATTCCGGTAGTTGCTCAGTCACCATTACAGATTCTAGTTTTTATTCCAGAAATACTTATTAACTGAATTTAAATTCCCCAGCTGCTGTGGTGAGAATTGAACTCATGAAGTCATTTCTAAACAATGCAAACATGGAGATAATAGGAGCCTGTTCCTGGATCATTAGTTCAGGCCTTTGGATTACTAATCCAGTAATATAACCATTATGTCATTGATGCCTACAACTATAACACAGCCCATTTGATAAAAAAAATGCCTCCCATGTAGTGTAATTTGAATGTCCTAATTCAAACTTCTAACAATTTAACTTTCCTTTGCATGCAATAAAAATCTGAAGTAGCAGGAACAGGGAGGCTATTAAATTGTTCTTTGTTAATGAAAAGAGTTCTCAAAATGCCTACACCCGGTACAAAACCCATCGTCAGGATTGAATTCAATTGCTGACCATAGGATCAGACTTCTACTGTATTTTAATTAGTGATCAAACCAGAGACAACTGGCAGTTTTAACCCAGTCAAAACATTTAAAGAACAAATAAAAGTACTTTTGGCAGTGGTGGGTTGATGTACATATCAAGAATTTAATGTTTTAAATGAATCTCTTAGTCCATCCTGGACATCACAACAGATTCTAGTCATCAGATGAACAGAAGGGCAGCGTTTGAAACTCAACACGAGGAACTTGGCTCAGACAGTGGGGTAGTCGAGGAAACAGAAAAGCTGAAATTGGTGAGCTTAAGGATCTGTGATCACCTCAATGACTCTTCACATAGCTGTTCTATAAGTGAGAGAGGAAAAGATAAAGCAGCCACTCTCACATTTACTAGCAGTGGTTACACAATATCACTAACAGCTGAGGAGCAAGAATGCTGACCTTCCTCCCACCCAAAGTACCAGGAACGGTGCATGATCATCTTTTTCCTCCAAATTGAAATGACTCAAAAAAGTACTTAAGAAAAATGAGGTATCACTGATAAAAGAACGTCAATAAATGTGAAGCAAAGATTGTCAGGAGAAGTTCAAACTGTACACAGTGAGTAATGTAAATAGTTACTGTTGAAATGGAAACAACAGGTATCCAGCAAGACGATTATAGTGAGCCAGCTCTGACGCACATAAAATGAACCATTTCAAACAGTGAAAGACAACAGAAAAGACCAAACCCTTCAAACCACAATTGTTCTAAATAGAGAAGTGCAACAAGTCTCCTTGTGTTCCTGTCCAGCCCTACCCTATCTACAGGTGCCTTTTCAAGTTGGGTAACAACAGAAACAAAAAACATGTTTCTGCTCAGATGAAAGGAACTTTTGAAACTAAGTTCTTGCAGACTCTTCAGTAAAAACCAACAAGATCAACACTCCCCCAGAATGATGCGAATCACAAGCCCGGCCCTTCAATTAATAGGCATTATGAAAAGCGAGATTACACTTTCAACTAGAATAGCTTATCAACACCGATAGTTTGAAATCAAACTTAAGCAAATAGAAACTGACACTCAAGTGAATAAGCTGCAATTTACATTATGTTGTTTTAATTTCAATTGCTGAATCAATGCCAATTTGCTACATTTACACTGTCTCACCCAGCTCTGTCACCCTGGCCCAGTTTTAAAATCTGCGATTCAGCTGCTAGGGAATGGGATCCAGACATAAAAGCGTTACCAGAGAAAGCATGGATCTCCCCCCTCACTCTATGGACAGAGAGAGAGAGAAAGAAAGAAAGAAAGAAAGAGAGAGTGGATCTACCACCCCTCTCTATTAAGAAGCAAGTACCCCACAGAGTGAAGAAAAACAATTCAGTGAGCATCACAGAGCCGTTCAAGTGAGGCCCAGCAGTGGATTGTCACTCGTGAGGTCAGAATACCTGGTTGCCTAAGAAACCCAAAAAAGTCACTAATAAACTGAAGGACATCCTTTCTTTCCTATTCCCTACTAGTGTAGGCCAACCATATCCTTATATCCTCTGTCTTGACAGCCCCATCAGTCTTCAGGGAGCATCATAACCTGCCCAATGCGATAACTGTCTTATATCCACACACTACAAAGGGTCACTCAGCAAATGCAGATTCCCTGGATTCCTTGGACAAGCTGCGCTCTGCCCATACTCAGTACAGATTTGAAGCCATTACACTCTACAATATACTTACTTATCAGAACTGCTACTCAAAAAATTATCAAATTCCATCCACTTTACCTTTAGTCATACAGTACAACAATGATGAAATTCTTGGCTAATCATAGCATTTAATTCATCTATAACAGACCCAGGAATGAAGCAAAGGGAATTTCAGACGTGGGGAGCTCTGAACATTTCTCAATATCGAAAGTCATTTGCTACTCGTCTGATCAATATGTTCAAATCCTGCTTAAGCTGAGCCTGTTCGGTTTCAGAATTTATAACTTCTGAAGATTTTAGAAGTATTCATTGTAGCATTCACAAGTTTAAAACCTATAAACCTTGTGACAAGCAATATTTATGAAGACAAAAAGCAAAACAGATTCCAAAGAAAAGCTGAGACAACAAGGTGTAGAGCTGGATGAACGCAGCAGGCCAAGCAGCATCAGAGGAGCAGGAAAGCTGACGTTTCAGGTCTAGACCCTTCTTCAGAAATGGGGGAGGGGAAGGGGATTCTGAAATAATTAGAAAGAAAGTGGGAGGTGGATAGAAGATGGATAAAGGAGAAGATAGGTGGAGAGGAGACAGACAGGTCAAGGAGGCGGGGTTGGAGCCAGTAAAGGTGAGTGTAGGTGGAGAGTTAGGGAGGGGATAGCTCTGTCCAGGGAGGACGGACAGGTCAAGGAGGC